CGCGAGCAGCACGTAGGTGGCGATCTGCCCCACAGCGCCTGTGTACACCACAGTGCTCGCGTGCACCACAACGTTTGTGTACACCACAACGCTTGCGTACACCACAACAGCCGTTTGCAACGCAGCGCTTGTGCACACCGCAGTGCTTGCGTGCACCACAACGCCAGTGTACACCACAGCGAATGTGTACACCGCAGCAGCCATGTGCCACACAGCGCCTGTCTACACCACAGTGCTCACGTGCACCGCGTCGCCTGTGCACACCAACGCGCCTGTCTACACCATAGCATCCGCGCGCAAAGCAGCGCTGGAGTACACCTGAATGCCTGCGTGCACAGGACAAATAGAAGGAGCATGTCGGTGAGGATGTGCTGCGGACAGCTAAACGCCACGCCAAGGAAGTGCTGATAATAGAATGCGACGTGTGTTCCCTCCTCCCTTCTCCACCTCCGCCTCCTCCTCCTCTTCCACCGCCTTCCTCCTCCTCCCTCACTCTTCCCCCCTGTCGTGCGGGTCGGCGCTACAGCGCACGTGCGCATCTCAGCGTGCACCGCAAAATGGTCTGTTGAATCAGTCTACTTGGTTTTCGGACGGCCAATCTCGCTGGAGAATCCTGGACGCAGATGGAAGGAGTTAGGATGATGCGGGCGGGCTCCAGGGGAATCGTAGATGCCAGCGGAGCTCCTCTTTCATACAGATTCCTTTCCTAATCCTATATAAACGATTCGTTTTACTGTTGAATCCACAGGCGCTCCATTTTGTTATAAGGATTCTTTTAAACATTCTGTATACAACAGTGGTGATTCGTTGCGGTGCACACAGGCGCCGTGGTGTACACAAGCGCTGTAGTACACGCAGGCATTGTGGTGTACACTGGTGTTGCGTTGCGCACGGCTGATGTGGTGTACGCAGGCGCTGTGTACACAAGCGCTGCGATGCCAGCAGGCACTGTGGCACACACTGGCGCTGTGGTGCACGCGGCTGCTGTGGTGTACATAGGACGTGTGGTTTGCACAGGCGCTGTGGTGCACGCAGGCACTGTGGTGTGCACAGGCGCTGTGGCGCAGATCGCCACCGACACGCTGCTGCTAGCTGTCCTTGGTCATTCCTAAGCATTCCCAGACGCCGCCGGCGCGAAACGTGACGTCATCGCCCCCCCCCCACCCCTCCCAGATGATTGCCGTCATCGGCCCGGAATAAAAAGAACAGGCTCCAGCTCCCGTCCGGGCGCACGACGACGATGAGCGACGAGCGACCAGCGACGAGGACAGCGACGACGACGACGACGACGACGACGACGACGACGACGACGACGACGACTGCGACGACTGCGGACCACGATGCGGACAACGACGACGACGACTCCTATGCGGATTCCGATGCGGACACCTGTGCGGATCACGATGCGCACGGCGGCAATGCGTGGGGGAGCGTTACGTCATAGGGGGGGGCCGGGGCGGGGGCCATGACGCCCGTCATGCCCCAAGCAATAAAGAAACGCGCTCCTATCCCCACCAATGGCCCGAAAGGGGGCGCCCCCTGTGGGGGGCAGGGGTTAGCCGTATCCCCTCCCGCCACCACCCCACCAGGCCCACACATGCCGATAAAGCCCAGACCACACAGACCCACCAACAAAAGGGGGGGTGAGCCACGTTATGACTGTGAACCCCAAGGGAGGAGAGGAGAGGAAGGGAGAAGGGAAGGAGGGGCAAAGGGAGGGGAGAAAAGGAAGGGAGGAGGGGAGAAGGGGCAAGGAGAGCGGCGAATGGAAGGGGCACAGTCCAAACACGGGGCTGGGTGGTGAGGAGTAGGGACACGTTGTCCCAGGTAGGCCGCATGGAGCCCTGTGCACTTGCACCTGAAACGTTATCATCGTTGCCACAACCACCACCACCACCACCATCATCATCATCATCATCATCATCATCATCATCATCATCAGCAGCATCATCAGCATCATCATCACCATCATCATCATCAGCATCATCATCATCATCAGCATCATCATCAGTATCGTCATCATCATCATCATAATCAGCATCATCATCACCACCATCATCATCATCAACATCAGCAGCATCATCACCACCACCACCATCATCATCATCATCAGCATAATCATCATCATCAGAGTCAGCATCATCATCACCTCATCATCATCAGCAGAAACATGATCACCATCGTCATCATCAGCATCATCATCGTCGTCATAATATGCAGTATCCGCATACAATCAGCAGTATCATCATCAGCATCATCATTATCAACATTATCGCCATCGCCATCAGCAGCACCATCATCACCACCATCATCATCAACATCATCATCAGCATCGTCATCATCATCGCCATCATCATCACCATGATCAGTACTGTTATCAACATTATCATTATCAGCATCATCATCACCATCACCATCAGCCTCATCACCACCACCACCATCATCATCATCATCATCATCGCCCTCATCATACTTGTCATCATAAACATAGTCAGCATGATCGGTATCATCAATATCATCCTGGTCGTCGTCGTCACCATCAAATGACGATCAACATCAATAACACTACAGGGGGCATCACCACCGTCAACATAATCCAACATCAAAATGTCATCCCAAGTCACGTTCATCTTTCTCATCGTCCACACGCGTTGGGATGTCGGAAAATGGTTTGGTACACAAAGGTGTGTGGTGCCAGTGTTGAACATGCCAATGTGATCTACGACAACCGCAGATACGTGGCATCCCGATATCATTAATGTTGGCTTTGTGCCGACTGCCTCAAACAACATCAGACATCCTGACTCCCCCCCCCCAACGACCGAAGTCCGATGTGAATGGCAGCACAACGCCCTCTTCCAGAACCCCCTCATCAAGCACGCGAGCTCGTCAATTCCGAATCGCAGGCCACATGATTATGGCATGTCTGTATCGCCGAAAAAGTGATTCCCGAAAGTCTGGAAGTTGGAAACCATATCAACTTGATACAAAACATACTTCGGGAAATCCCACCCGCCCTCTGGGCGGAGGTGGTTAAACAAGTCATGCCTTTTCTCCCCCGCCTTCCCCTGCTCGGGGGAGGGGTTAACCCCATCCCCCTACCCCCTCCCCTGTGCCTGGGAGAGGGAGGGACGAGCAACTTAGAGCGTCAAGATGGACCACAACTGGCTCCAAGAGGGCCCTCAGCAGCCCAAGACGGCCTCCATCCAAGATGGCTTACGATAGCCGACGCCAGTACAATATAGCCTCTTACATACCTCCAAGAGGCCCTAAGACAGCCCCAAGACGGCTCCAAGTGCCCTTCAAACCTTCCTAAGCACCCTCCAAAGAGGCCCAATTCCTTCAAAAGCCGTAGATCAAGTCCCTGTACGTTACCGTCTCGCTGTTTCGCTTCTGATGATTTTGGGGGGCCTCAAGATGGCCCCAAGATGGCCCAAGAGAGCCCCAAGAGGGGCTCAAGAGCGCCCTAAGACGGCCCCACGAGCGCCCAAGAAACGCCCAGGAGCGGCTCCAGAGGGCCCCAAGACGCAATGTTGGAGTCTCCGAGCGGATGAATTACCCCCACCCTCTTTTCGAGCCATGAGGGCCAAGAGGCCCCGCAGACCCCATCCATGAGCCCCAAGAGGACCCCAAGACCCCTACAACGAGCCCCAAGAGGACCCACGGGGGCCCCAAGAGAGCCCCGAAGATGGCCTTAAGCATCCTTCAATAACCTTTCACGACAGCATAACTCCGAAGCCGACTTCTCATCTTTGTTGTCATCGTCCGTCTCTTCCCTCCAAATTTCCTGGCTTCTCCCTTCTCCTCCTCCTCCTACTCCTCCTCCTCCCCTCCGACTCCGCCTCCTCCTCCTCATCTTCCTCGTGCCTCATTCCTCCCCCTCCTCCTCTTGTTCCCCCTCCTCCTCCTTCTCTCTCTTTCTTCTTCCACCTTCTTCTCCTCTTCTTTCCCCTACCCACAAGATGGTCCCAGGAGGTCGAGCATGGCTCAAGATAGACTCCATGCCTCAAGACAGCCTCGAGATGACCCAAGATAGCTGACCAGGGCTCAAGATAGCCTTCGACAGCCTCTAGCCGAGCATGGCTCAAGATAGCGCCCAATAAGTCTCAAGAAAACATCCGATCGTGTCTGGATGGGCTGGTAGGATTAGCGAGGCATCACACATTCCAAAACGGCATTCCAGAAATTCCGGAATCGCAACAGAAACCCGTGAACAAAAATCTGGAATCGACAGAATCGCGTGCCCAGCGATAGGGCGTCATGGCCGTCGTTTGGGAAGTTGGAATTAAATTATGATGTTGCTTGAGGCGGTCGACGCAAAGTCAGCGATGCTGAAATCGGCATGCGGCTGTCGTATATAACATCGCCGGCTTCAGCACTGTCACCACACACCTTCATACCACATCCCTTTCCGACCTCTGCAATTCTTCTCCCTCCTCACTCTTCCCTTATCCTTCTCCTCTCCGTCGTCCCCCTCCTTCCCTTTTAGTCTCTCATCCTACGTGCGCGCGAGATCACAGGATCTCCAAGGAGGACACCCGGGGCTGACAGCGCCTCAAGGCAGACTGGAGAGACTGCAGATTCTCACCCCGATACCTTCTGCTTGCCATTTCCTCTTCCTCCTCTTCCTCCACCGCCTCTAGCCCATCCCCTATCCCTCTTCCTTATGAACAACTCCTCCTCGTCGCACCACCAGACGTGTCAATAGAGCCGTCTGGCGCGTTCCCCTGATACTTCCCCGCCGCGTTTGACCCGGAAACTGTGCACTCCCCGCAGTTATCCGGATTGGGGCCGGATGATCTTCAAAATGTCGCTGTCGCCTCAGGGCCGCACGCATACGGCTGAGAACATGCCAAGCAAACACCACGGACGGAGAGCGGGCCGCACCGGCCCTTCAGGGCGTGAGTGCTTTAGGGAGATTCCTCTGTCCAACCCCCCCTCTTGCCGAGCCCTCCACTTCGAGCTATGGGCAAGTGTGGAGGTGGGGGCGGGAGGCTGTCGTCGAGGACTTCGATGACCTCGTTGGAGTGGTACGTCGACTCATAGGCCTTGCCGTCTGTCGGCCTGACTCGCCAGTCGGACTTCCACATCGTCTCCCCCTGGCTGCCTTCTCCCTCCATGCCCCTGCCATCCTGAGATCCTTCCCCACTGGAATCAGAAAACCAAAAACGCGGGGGAAGGTACGAAGGCATGAGCGAGCAGGAGGAAGAATGAGTGGAGGAACAAGGAAGAAGGCAAAAGAGAGACACCAAGGGGACAGGAGAAGAAATAAAAAAGGAAGGAACTAAGCACAAGAAAAAGATGCAACAATACTTGTGGGAGATAACTGCTCGTTGCGTGCAGTCTGGGCTCCTTGCAAAGCCGGAAGACACCAGGCACCCTCGGCAACGTAACAATACAACGAAGAAACCTGAACCCTTTCCGTCCACGTATGCGATGTCAGCTCAATTCAATGTCGAGAAGAGAGAACAAGCAAACGTAGCATGCCAAGGCCTGTAGCGACGACCAACGATTACACATCCAGCGACCTTAACACATGAATTAAGCACGCGTAGACCAACAGATCCGCCGCAATGCCTGAATTGCACTCCAATATAACTTTACATGCACCGATGCGCGTCTTCCAGCCCAAGTCGTCACAAACACAAGCGCACACACACACACACCTTTGTGTCGGCGGCTGGGCAGAGGGCGATTGCTCCGGCGAATTGGCAACGGGGGACACGCTGTATGCAAATTAAGGCCGAAATGCACGGAGGAGAAAGAGTCCCGGCGCGACAGGGGAAGAGGAAGCCGGGCCCACTCAGAGACGCCGAATGCGGCGGGGGGAGCGCCGAACACACACATACACACACCATCTGCTATCCGCACCGCACCCATGATCGAAACGGAATAAATTTAGGCATATACGCCGATCAAGCTTGCAGGAAGCTTGCATCACGATGTTCTAAAGCGGGGGGCACGTAGACCAGTGCGGGGAGGCGCAAAATAGGAGCTCTGGGAGGGGCGAGGGCGATGGATGTGAGGGGGGCGGGGATGGTGATTATACCAGGGTGCGATTAATTGTGCCAGAGTTCGATCATCACCGCCGCGGAAGACCTTCAGGTGTCAGGGAAAGCGCACTCCGCTGCTATGCCTAGGTTGAGCGCAAACGCCAATACTCGCAAGCGCTCTGTGGGCGTTTGTAGTTTGTCCAACCGCAAGATCTCCTTCTGGGGGGGTCCTTGATCCAATCATTCAAGACCCTCTCCCCCATTCAACCGGCCGCCAACCAGGAACAACAAGGGCAGCCCCCCACCATCCCTGGCACAAACCCATGCGTAGCGTTCATGGCGAGAAAATATGGACACTGAACGGGCGCCCCGCGATCATGTGGCAATGTCCGTTGACAGAGACGGCAAGGGTGTCGTGATATTTGCCAGCTACGGGAAGAACCGTTCTACCGGGTAACGAACCTCTCGGAGAGAGAGAGGGAGATAGAGAGAGAGAGAGAGAGACAGAGAAAGGGGGAGGGAAAAAAGGCGAGGAGAGGGGGGTGGGGCAATCCTGACATTCTACCGCTCCCACCCATCCCTTCCCATTGTGCTGATGTGTCTCTATCCGCCGACCCGTGTCATACAGGATCTGGAACCCCCATGAGGACACCATCGTGTTCATTATGCGCGTGCGCGATCAGATCAAGCGAGGATATGCCCATTGAAGGAGGAGGAGGAGGAAGCGGCGAATGAGCAGGAGGATGAGCAGGAAGAAGAGGAGGAGGACGAGGAAGAAGGAGGACCAGCAGCAACAGCAGGAGCTGAAGTGGGAGGAGCGGGAGGCGCAGGAGGACCAGGGGAAGGCGGAGGGGGGGGGGGGAACAATCGAGGCGACAATGACGAGGAAGGACTCGGATCGGGAAAAGTCGCCCGCGCTGGTGCGAGACCCTCATTCTGAACGACGGGAGGAAAGCGCAGATCCTACAATGAGGCCCACACTACATCGGGAACACCATTTGAAGCACCGAAACCGTTCCGATTGACAAGCACTACAGATTGGACGCACGTGAGGTTTCCGTGCACATGGCCGTCAAATCGCGCATCTCTGACTGGGCTCACGCCAAACGCGGGGGAAGGCGGCAGACTTTCAGCACACAATTGGGGACGCGAGGAGTGTAGTAGTCATGCCGGGTGAGGGGGGACCCTGGCTGCCCCCGGATGTCGATCTGCCCCTCAGCAGCGGGCGGCCCGCGGGACAGCTCGCTGAGGGCGGCCTCCTGCTCGGCGGTGAGGACCACGAAGCCCTGCACCGGGGAGGAGGTGGAGAAGGGCAAAGAGGGTCGGACGCCACGGAAGCCCCTCACGCGCGCAGGGGGTGGGCGGGGATCGTTGTTGCCTGCTGCAGGTCATGTCACCTCGTCAGAATGAAAGGCCTCAACGAGGGAATGGAGACCAATGGCGGGGGGGGGAAGAAAATGGCATGGCGCATCCCTGGAACCGCCAAGAAAACATAGAAACTGCCTGCGGAACAGGCACCACCGCAGGGCGCAACCGCAATGCAAAGCAAACTCGCCACGGGCAGACCTTGGGCACCGCCTGGGTGGGGGAGGAGGAAAGATACGGAGGGAAGGATGGGCAGGGAGGGAGGAGGCAACATCGAAACAGAGTCTGGAGCGTGTTTTGTACTCGTGGCAATAGCGCGCGCTATGGGGGGGCGGGGTTGTGGCATGACGTGACGCCACCCCCACCCCCCATGCAGTGGGACTCGCCGCCACTGGAGCGCTCGCGTGCAAAGTGGCCTTGTGGCGACGACGACGACGACGACGACGACAACGACGACGACGACGACATCGACGACTGTGAAGCGGAAGCGGCAGATGAGCGGCGACGCGTGGGCGACGAAAACGACGACGAGGACGACGGACGACGGACCACGTGCAGGGCGACGGACAGAGGACAAATGAAGGACAACCCGACGACGACGATGACGACGACGATGATAACGACCGCACGACTGCATCACTGCGATGACGACGACGATGACGACGATGACGACGCAGACGCAGACGCAGACGACGCAAACGCAGACGCAGACGCAGACGCAGACGCAGACGACGTCGGGCCCCGCCTTCCGCGCCCCCGAGGAGGCCGCGGCGTGGACCTCGCGCGAGCGCTGCGAAGGAGGGTGCAGGGGAGGTGCGCGCTTCCGATGTGTGTCAGGTCTGTCCTTCAAGTCTCGGGCGACTGAGCAGGACGAGCCCCTCTAGCATAGGACGGACGAGGAAGGGGAGAAGGACTGATGATGCAGGAAGGGGGCGGAGGAGAGAGGGAGGCTGGGGAGGAAGGAGGAGGGAGGGAGGACGGCGGGGGCGCAGAGGAGGCAGAGATGCAGGGTGGCAGGAAGGAAGAAAGACAACGACAATGACCTGTCGTGCAACTGAGGAACAGGAGCACGGGCCACCATTGGGCACGAGGCCCCAAAATTTGGCGAGCCGCTTGCCCGCCTTGGGGTGTTTGCCAGCACGAATCGCAGCGATATTATACCGCTATCGAGACCTGGTTGGCGGATCCTCAACTGGACCCTTGCAGTCCAATTCTGGGTTGCACTTAGGAGCCTGAGCGGACCCTTGGTAGGAGCCACACAGCGTGCACACCATGGCACCTCTCTGGGACGGAACAACTTGGTGCCCGCAAGGCTCCAAAAGAGCCTCGGGCAGCAGGCCCGTCGATTCGCCATGCCCTACTCGAGCCAACACCAGAGATACCACGGTAAAACCGTACGCGCAGCATCAGACTGCATGCGCGGAGCCTTCTGTAGGTCCTGGTCCCTGGCCGCCATCAACTTCTGCTGACCTGTGGGGCTACAAGGTCTAGCACAAACAACTTGGCCAGACTGTCAGGGGCCCTGGCCACACGCACACAAGTAGAACTTGCACTGCATCAACTGGGCATCGCCCCCACCTTGATCCTCCGCACCATCTCGTGCTGAGCGAGGTCCAACTCAGGGGCCGGAAAGGTAGAGGGTCTGCACGTGCTGGCGGGGCGGCCCGGCTTACTGTCACGATTTGCAAGCTTCGTAGCCGCCCAACCGTGGCACATGGCCTTCATCTTAGCCTCCGACATGTGGTGCTCATAAGTCTTGACATTTGTTTCTGGACAGGCCTGCTGCATCGCACCCTTGCGCGCAAACCAATCAGCCCAACAATTGCCAACGTAGAACTCAAACGGCTGGGGTGGTCCGATGGCCTTAACCAGAGACATGCGCGCTGGAATGAAGGTCGTGCTTCGCCGACTGTCCCGAATATCTCCCTCCATATAGCAGCATACGTCGCCTGTGCGTCAGCCTGGTCTTGGTGCCAGGCAGCACCTTCCTGACAAAGAGAGAGCAAGTTTGTGACCACGAGCGTCACCATCGGGAGGTGTCGAAGAGCCTGCAGCAGAGCAGCACGCTTATGTCGACCAACACTCTGGATGAGGCCTTGGAGCGCTCCCCAGGCCCCGCGCATTCGAGTCAGACAGAATCCCCAACCCCATCAACATAACTCAGGCCAGCTTGGGGCCATTCCAAATCCATCCGTGAAAACCACCATATCCCAGGAATATTCGCAAGAGCTCCAGTCACCCCAGAAAACCCCGGGCATCTTCAAGGGCACCATAGGAAGAGGCTGGGGGATCAGCGGCCAATTCAGATCTCAAGCTGGTCCCAATCGTTGGCTCAAAGCCCTGCGATGCCCTTGTCCTTAAGATACCTATACGTGTGGTTCAGCTTGTGGTCCACATTGAGGTCCGAGGGCGAAGGAGAAATCAAAGATATGGATTGGACTAGAGGGGGGTCGGTCCAGAGCCCGTGAACCCATTCTGGCACCTCGCCGAAGCCTCGCCAGGGGGGGGAGCGCCAACGTCGTCCCACACATCATTCCCAGGTCTGGCGTGGCAGCTTCAGAGAAAAAAGGATGAGGAGGAAGAGGAGGAGGAAAAGGAGGAGCGCACGTCGGAGGCACGGCACGCTCATCAGGGGCACGAGTCAAACTTCCGACGGTTATTACAACCTTGAAAAGATTGCTCAAGCTCCTCGAGTGCGCTACTTAAAGCGGTGCTACGCACTGGGGGGGGGGGGGGGCGAACGTCCCTTTGGAGTCCAAAACGGATGGAATCCCTGGATCCAAAGACGCCCCACAAACACACAATCGGTGGGCGACTAACTTTTAGTAGGCGAACAGAGAGGGTAAACAAGAAACGCGACACCAACCTTCGAGACCAAACAACTATTTGAATCAGAGCGCCCACGACCCAGAAAGGCTCAGAAAAGCCCGCAGCGACTCTAGGCCGTGGGTCCGTCTCTACTGGGTCTCCTGGGCAGGGCTCCGATAAGCCTCAGGATACTGGCATCGCGAGAGAGACCGAGTGAGGGAGGCGAGGGGGAGCAGCAGCGGCAGCGGCAGAACTCGGACGAGGAGGAGGAAGGGGACGGAGACTAACTTCAGAATTCGACTATACGTGCCTTGGCCTCACCTGGTCTCCCGCCACCTCTCCTCGAACTCTCCTGTCCTGGGCGGATACCTCCGATGTCGTCAAGTCTCCCAGGGAGGACAAGCGGTGCCATCGAAACTCTGGTGGCCCCCGCAGTCGGCGAGGAGGAGGAGGAGGAGGAGGAGGGAGGACGGAAGAGGGGAAGGATCAGGGAGAAGGAGGAAGTGGGGAGTTGAAAGGAGGGAGGGAGAGGAAGTATGATAACGAGGAGGAGAAGAAAAGGGGGAGGTATGCGGACGGGGGCGGATGGGAGTGGAGGGGGGAAGTGGGGAAGGGAAGACGGACAAGGAATGAGGACGAGGACGAGGAAGGTAGATATCAGGGGAGAGCAGCGTGACCGACAACATCGCTCATTCTAAGCTGCCGCAGAAGTAGAAGCGTGACGAGCGCTGTTCCAAGACGGGCCGCCAATCGGGCGGACGTAGTAGACGAGACCCAACCGTTCAAGATAGCCCATCCCCCGACTGCAAATGCCACAATTCTAGATCAGTGGCTGCGTGGGGCAGACGCCACGACACAATCAGTGATGCTGGCCAGGAGGGAGGCGGGAGGGAGGCAGGGAGGAGAGGAGGCCCTTTGTCCCTCCCAACGCCCTCGACTTTGGTTCTCCCACTCCCATGCCTTGCTGTCTCACCCACCCTGGATCTCTCTTGTTGCTCCTCCCTTTTCTATCATAGCACCGATGGAATTTCTAATGGCGGCCCGCTCGTAGACCTGAAAATGAGTCAATGATCCTACACGGCGCCGGACCACGAGCGTGGTCTCACATCCCTGCCCGCCGAATCCGACTGCAATGACGCACGCTGGCGAGCTAGACCCCATGCAGCTCTGGCACAGGATCGCGTCCATTCCGCTTAGTGCAACACCACCTGCGAAAATCGGAAGCGCAACCCCGACGGCAACCACGACGTCGATACTCAAGACCTCTAGGGCCATCCTGCCAGCCAAACTGCTCCAAGCATCATCCCTCGTCGTAGTCGGGGCTGTCATGAACGAATCCCCGGCGGTCCGTCCTCCACCGACAGTGTTTGAGCAGTTCAGCATTCAAGGTTGCATTGTCAATGGCTGTACAAACAACCCGATGTTGCGGCTGAACATCAGATGGCCTCCCCTAAAATGGAAGTGGTGCTGCCAATTCAAATCGATGACCAATGTGTTTCCAATTGGTGAAAATCAAAGTCGAAGAGTTGCAGAATCATGTTCTAATCTGCCTCGCGAGCCTCAACACCGAAGTTCTCAACGCAAGCTCTAGACGGACGAATTCCTCAACGCAGGCTCTAGACTGACTACGTGTCTTTGTGCATTCGGGAAGGATCGCCTTGAACTCAGACGACGCCGTGGGCGCCAGTGCGGCGATTCGTCGACGTTCTGCAAAGGAGGACGGAATCTCAAAGCGCAAGCGCACACCGTTACCAAACCTCTGCGGCGATGACCCCGTTCGACACATCCAACACGCAACAGTGATGGATTACCATGGGTGCGAAAACACTGTCTCGCAGCCGCCTCTGGCTGGCGTCCCAAGAGATACTGTCGTCAACCGTTCTCGCCAGTGCCCCCGCGCCCCCCCCAAAAGCACTGGCGCCGTCGGGCGCGCACTGGAGCACTTCGGGGGCCCATGACCGTGTGGTGACGGACTGCGTGGTGATCTCGGAATCCCATACGACCTCACCGCGCGGTCCGTCACCGCACGGCTTGGGGACCCTGGATGCCCCAGTCGCTCGAGGCGTCCGCAGAAAACGACTCTCGAGTCCCAAGACCGCCTGGTGGCCCGACTCCCCACCGACCCGCCACGCGGTGCCGTCACCGCACCGCTCGGGGGCCCACGGAACACTGCGGCAGGGCAGCACCCGGCCGCCCCAGCACACGGCCACCCGAGCCCAGGGCGCGGCGCACCGGCTCCCTCGGGGCGCAGGCCCCTGCAGGCCGCCCCGAGGCCCTGGGGGCCACCGGGCGGGGCTCGGTGCGGCCCCAGCCAGCTCCGAGCCGATCCCTGCCCCCAAAGTCTGACAAGCCCAACGGCGATGACAATCCTGGGGATGCGCCCTCACAAACTGAGGGAATCCCTGAGATCGGCATCGAGATGAGGTGATGCCAATCATAGGGATAGGGATATGCTTCAGGCCGGCAAGCCTCGTCACGCCAGTTGGGCCTCCCGCGTGAGAGCTCGTCGTCGTCCGCTCGCTGTCTCTCCCTTCCTTCTCTCGCCGAGCAGCGTAAACTCCCGGAAGCTTCCTGACGACCCCAGGCGTCTACAATCGACAGGGCGCGCGGCGTCGCGCCGACAGGCGTCTTGGGCAAAGAGCGGGCGCTCTGAGGAGAAGCGCCGCCCCCCCCCCCCCCCTCTGGCTTCGGCCAGGGCGCCTGGGCGAGCTTGGTGTTGAGCTCCGCCTTGCCCTCCATGGCGGCCTTGGAATCCTCGGGCAGCCGTGTGGCCCAGGAGGGCGACACTCGCAGATAACGCGCCCCCCCCCGTCCAAGCGCTCCCCGCCGCGGCTGGCCCAACACCATCCCCGCAGTTCAATCTGGGTGCGCTCTCTTCCCCGATCCTCGATGGCCCCTGCCCATTCCCCCGCCCCGTCCCTCCCACTCCCTCTCGCTGTCCCTCCCGGTCCCTCTCGCTGGCCCACTCCCTCGCGTCTCTCACTCCCTCTCGCTGTCCACCGCCTACCCTCCCATCCCCCTCCCCATCGCTCTTGCGCCCTCCCCCCTCCCCTGCCGTTCGTCCATCCCTCAAACGTCCTGACATTCCCCTCTGCACCTCCTCCTACTGATTCTCCTCGTGCCCCCCCTCTCCGTTTTGTTTGCTGTTGCTTTTGTGTCATCTCTCTTTCTCTCTGGCCTGTGTTTTGTTTGTTTTAGATTGCTCTCTCTCTCTCTGTTTATCTTTCTGTCTCTCTCTCTCTCTCTCTCTCTCTTCCTCTCTCTTCCTCTCTCTTCCTCTCTCTCTCTCTACCTGTCTGTCTCTCTCTCTCTCTCATCAATGCAACCCCTCCCTCCCTGCGTCCGTCCGTCCATCTCTCTCTCTCTCTCTCTCGATTATCTCTCGTTCTCTCTCTCTCTCTGTCTCTCTTTCTCTCTCACTCTCTCTGTCTCTGTCTCTCTCTCTCTCTCTATGCATATGTGTATGTGTCTCTCTTCTCTGTGGAAGAGGAAAAGAATGAGGCGGGCCAGCAAGCAGCAGGAGGAAGAGGCAGCCCGTGTGTCTGTCTCGCTTTCCCTCTGTCTCCCTGCCTATATATGTCTCTCTGTTTCTCTCTCTCTCTCTCTCTCTCTCTCTATATGTATCCATATGTTTGTTCTCTCTCTCTCTATACATATCATTCGCGCTCTCTCTATCTCTCTCTCTGTCTCTGTCTCTGTCTCGTTCTCTCTCACTCTCTCTCTCTCTGTCTCTCTCTGTCTCGCTCTTTCTCTGTATATACATATGTATATATATGTGTATATATATAGCTATCCCGCTGTCTCTCGCTATCGCTCTCTCCCTCTCTCTTTCTCATTATATGAGTATACATGTGTGTATATATATATCCCCCTCCCCCTCTCCATATGTACGTGTATCTGTATACCCATATATATACATATATATATGTGTCGTCAAACTATATCGAACGAGATGCATATCTATACATACATATATATAGATCGTGCTCTGTTGCTCTATAGTTCGTCATGTTAGTTTCTAACTGACGATTCACCTATATATATGTGTGTGTGTAGGCGGGCATGCATGCATGCATACATGTATGCATCAAACGATGCAAACATGCCTTCGGGTACAAACACATGCAATATAAACATATGAATACGCTTGTGTGAATGCATTCACAGGATCATGAAACCAGTCGTACAAACACACACACACACATATGTATTGATGAATCCACGTAGTCGCACTTAAAAACATGGCATGCACATGTATGCATACATGCACGTATGCTTATACACCCGCACACATACGCATATACGCGTGCATGCAGGTATGCGTGCTCATATGCATGGGCATCTACACATACACATCCACGTGCGCATGGTCATGCGCATGCAAAGACGCACACACACACACACGCATACGCATGTATTTACATGTGTGTACATACATACATACATACATACATACATACATACATACATACATACACACACATACATACATACATACATACAAACAAACATACATACATACATACATACATACATACATACATGCACACATACATACATGCATACATACATACAACCATACATACATACAGACATACACGCATGTATATGGCGATACACGTACATGTGAATATGCATGACTATACATCCACATCTATGTGTATACATACACAGACACACATCTGTCATAAAGCGTTTCGTGGACGCTTGCATGCAAAGAAATAACGTCACACTTTGGAATCAAAAAGGGGGGCAACACGCTGAGCGCCCCTGGAGAAACGGGGGGTCTCCGTTGACACTGGCCCCCCTAGCCGGGGGGGGCTTTCCGGGCGGGGGGGGGTCGAACCGCGGGGGGGCCCTCCCTGAGGCGGGGGGTCGAACCAGGGTCGGGGTGCAAGGGGGCGGGGGTCAAACTGAGGGAAGGAGGGCCCCCCGCGTCCGAGGAGGTGGCGCTCGAACCAGGGAGGCCCCCCCCCCCCCCCACATGAATTGCAAAAGGAATCGAAGGTCAAACGGGCAGGGCCCCCCCCCCTCGTCCAGGGGGGGCCAAAACGACAGGTGGGCTGGGGCGGAGGGTTCGAACCGCCCCCCCCGCCCCCTTCCCCGAAACTGGCGACGGCGAGCGCCGACGGGCAGCGACGACGACGACGACGCCAAGACGACGCCAAGACAAGACATGACAACGCCAAGACAAGACAAGAAAACAAGAAACACGACAAGAAAAGTCAAGATCCCATGAAGCCCTCTGCGGTCTGCGCCACGTGCGAAGCCAGGACCCTGGATGGGCGACCGCGCAGCCGACTGACTGCATCTTGGCTTGGGAGGGGGCCGCGGCACCATATTAGGGCCCCAGACCTCAGGCATCAGGCCCGCCCTTCCTCCCCCGCCCCGACCCCATCCCAGACCCCCCACCCGGGCCCCTTCCTTCGGACGACGATTGTCGCGGCAGCTGAATCGTCGGCATGGAGGGCAACCCTTGCGACGCGCATCTCTGGGCCTGCCGCGCGCCGCTGTCTCTCTCTCGGAAACTTCTCGCAAAACAACGCCTTCTGGCGATCAAACATGAAAGGCGATCGCTGTTTGCAGCGACGCAGGGACGCTTGCCGGACAAAATCACGCTGGCTCACTCCTGCGACCCACGCTGCCTCCGACGTTCACTTCCCGTCCACAAGGTGCGAGACATCGCGTTCCAGTGGGCCCCGGGGCCCAGGCCGGGGGCCGCCTGCGCGCCGGCCGCCCCCCGCCTCGATGGCGATCGCCAGGTTCCCGAGCAGGCGAGCCCCCGCGGACGAATGGCGGTCGATGATCGAGCGCGCGGTCGCCGCGGACTCTGGATTCTCCTTCTCCTTCTGGCGCTCGACAGGGCAGAGAGTTTCACGACGCGGCCCAAGAACTGGACATACAGCTTGTTGACGTAACTAGCTGTTGAGCCTTCGCCGGGTTCCTGACCTGCGCAGTAGACGAGCAGGGCCGCGCGCGCGCAGGTGAGATGGGCCGTGACCGCGGTTGTCGGGAGTGCCCACCACCTCGGCCTCTGCCTTCAGCTCATCGCCGCGCCCGTCGCAGACGTTGCCCGCTCTGGTCATGGCCACCACCGCGCCCATCAGCAACAACTGGAAACGCTGGCGCTTGACGCAAGTTCCGACGTCCGCCATGAATCTCGCGAGCCGTGATTAGCAGGAGCTTGGCGCCGGTCTCCTCTCGCCCCCGGCGGCCCGTGCGACCTCTCCTCGGCTCGCCGCCGCCGACTGCCCCCCCGCCGCCGCCCCTCTGCGAATCCGCGATGTAGGCCCGGCGTTTCGGACAGTGGCTCCACCGGCCGGGCGGGCCCATCTCGGCACTAGGCATCGCGCCCACCAGCGTCGCGCACATGATGCGCAGACGCCTGCCGCGGAAGATGCGGCTTGAGAGGCCCGCGGAGATCGTCGAAGTCTGGCGCCAGAAAATCTTAACAGGGGCTCAGTCGAGGCTTCGGGGGGGGCTCAGGGACCAGCGCAGACGGGCCTTTCGCGAAAAGCTGTTTTCTCGCCAGGGGCCTCGCAGGCGACGATGGGCAGCTTGCTTGCTCGAAAAAACTCGCCCGCTGCACGAGCGCGCGCTCTCGCGCGCCGGCGCCGAGGCCCCCGCGCGACGGGCAAAAAGAAGGCGACTGGAGATGCCCGGCCGCAGGGGGGGGCCCTCGTTTACTGCCCAACATCGAAGACCCCTCGCCTCGTCGGCCCAGGGGGGGAGCGGGGCGGCAGAGGGCGCGGGCGCAGCGGCGGGCGCGCCAGGCGGAGAAAAGAGGAAAGGAGGGGGGGCCGCACCGGGCTGGCGATCGCAGGCCGCTGTCGGACGCAATGAAAATCGATTCGGGTGAAATCGCCGCGGGCCCCCCCGCGTCGAAGCGAGCTGAGATCAAACGCGAAACCTCAGAGATAACTGCGTAAAATCTCTCTGCCGCGAATGGGAAATTCCTTGCCAACGGCCGCGCGAACGGGGGGGCGCGCGACGCGGGGCGACAATTGCGGGCGGGGGCAAGCAGGGGGCGCGCTGGGATTTCAGCGGGGAACGCGCATGGAACCAGCAAGCGTCGCCGGGGAACGGCGGGCAGACTTCCGCGCGCATGTGGGCCCAATGCCGGTGCCCCCACCGGCGCTCGCCAAACCATCAACGAGGGGGCAACTTAGCCGCGGTCATCTGTTTCGGATGCGCTCCGCCCCGCGAGGTGGCACCGCCGGGCGCGGCCACCCTGCAAGGTCTTGCCGTGGCCGCGTCTAGCTCGCCGCAGTCTGCCTCCGTCGGAGCGAACTCCCATGGGCCCCCATGGAGGGAGTTGACGACGAACGCTTGCGGTCCACAGCGGCGCGCGCGGCGGGGGTGCCCGATTGGCCCCAGACCCCTCCCAGCGAACGAAAACTTGCGCGCGCGGCTCGGATGCCATACTGAATTTCACGGCGGCGCACCTTTTCGCCAAAGCTGCGGTCGCGAATGCCAAGGGGAATCGCTGGGGGAAGGGGGCCCCGCCTGGCGCGCGATCGCACCCTCTCAGAAGACGCAGCTTGCGTCGACCCCGACGCAGGCACGAGTCGCGAGGAATCCCTCGTCAGCTAAAACAGTGGGCGAAGCGGGCCGGAGAAAGCCAGGCGCCCCGCCTGTCGCCCGAGGCCCGAAGCAGCCTCCAATGACTTGGGCGAGGTATGCGCCGCTCAAGAAATGCCGCCAGCAAACTTAGATTGACCGCCCTCGGCGCCCCAGGGGCCGAGCCTGGCCCC